GTTTTGAAAAAACATATCGTTATTTTTAAATAATTAAAAATGCCACGAAAATTATTAACAAATTCCATTTTGAAAATCGTATTAACTGTTGTTAAACTGATGACAAACAGAACAGATACTGAATTAGAATATAAGAATTTAACATTAGTCAGATAATTATTGTGTGCAAATTATAAATAAACTATGATACAGTAATACAGTATAATGTACTTCCTTCTGTTATCGACGATTATCAACAATTATCGAAGATTATCGCTGTATATTATATTATATATTATAATGTTGTACCTATTTGCAATTTCACAATTATTTTCAAATGTCATTGCTATTACACAATACACGTGAAGTTGGCGAGTTGGCCCACCCACTTTAGAGTAGCGACTTAAAATCTTCACCAATATTTTGCGAGTTATTTGCGAGAATTTGCGAGTTCACTTTTAGAATTTGTGAGTTAGCCGTTTATGATCAGCAAGCAAAATAAAAATGGGTGGGCCAACTTCACGCACGTTGCTATTGCCTACATTATACATTACTATTTTATTTTATATATATACCACAACATATATTGCTTAAAAATTAAGACCATTGGTTTCCAAACTTTTTTATTGCGGAAATGTCTTTTGGCGGAAACGGGAATCGTACCTTTTTCGTTTTTGGCGGAAAAGGGCTATGGCGGAAACGGCCAATATTATTTTAGTGGAAACGGGTAACTCCCTGCCAAACAATAAAGGAAGGGGAGTTCAAAGACCATGAACCCMCTTCTTCCGCTTGAAATGACCGTGCATTTGCATGATATATTATGTATCCTTACCCATCACTGACCATAAATATAAATATAGTATGTAATATGTATATTGTATCTACATAAATGTACATGTTATTTATTACTAGGTACCTAATTGTTCTAATTGGTTATTTTTTCAACAATCATACGCCGCTATGGATATCGTATTGTAAATCCTTGAAAAAATATTTAAAACACACGTGATGGCTAATAAATATTTTATACACGTTGTAGGGTAGATTGTGTGAACTGGACGTAGACGAATGTGTGCGTTTCATTCACACAGGCTTAGGATGTCAAAATGGAGCGGAATGCAAGAACACGCCGGGAAGTTACGAGTGTGTATGCGCGGCGAACTGGTTCGGTTTGCACTGTACGAAAAGAAAGAACGATTGCAACGCGGCAATGTCGTCGGAGCTCTGCGGTAACGGCGTGTGCATCAATCAACCGTCGGCGATCGGTTACACTTGCATTTGCGAGCAGGTCAGTGCCACACCTTCGCTCAAACGGACAATAATTGTTCGAGATTTTGTTCATTCTATCTTATGTAATTTTGTATTTTAATAAAGGGTTGGACTACCATGGACGGAGGACAAAATCCGGCTTGTACAAAAGACGTGGACGAATGCAAAGAAAACAAGCACRCGTGCTCAGTAAACCCACCGGTCGAGTGCAGGAACACCAGAGGGTCGTTTACTTGCGGAAACTGTCCCGCAGGTGATTACACTTTAGTCCTTATGTTTACACAAAGACATAGGTACCTATATATATATATAGGGTAAACATACATGTAYGATGTACAGTTTACAAATATACAATATAGGTGCATAATACTATTGCAAAAATCACATTTCATAACGTCATCATGMTYTGTGCATGTTTCATTAGGTTACGARGGAGATGGATTCGTGTGCACAGACATCAACGAGTGTCTAATAAATAACGGCGGCTGCAGTTTGAATCCCAGAGTTCAATGCGTTAACAATAGAGTATGTGCGAATTTTGTTTATACTAAATGTTTAAGTTGATCAAAAATTATGAGTTACATGCAGTTCAAGTTAAACACTTTGTTCTTTTTAATATTTGTGTTACTGTTAATTTTATTTTCAACTCGACAAAAACCTCAATTAAACCTTCTTTATATGATATTATTCTAATTTAATGTGTTAATTATTACGCATATTAAAGATTATTGATTATTTCATGTTTGCTATTTTATATTGAAAATTATAATGGGGTGACAATTAATAATCTCAAGTTTTTGTCAGGAAATTGAATTTAATAWTATAAAAAAAATTATACATTTTTGTTTCTCTTCAAGGGTTCTTTCAAATGTAAACCGTGTCCAGCTGGTTATAGCGGTGATGGTTTTAACTGTGTTTACATATCCGGAGGAGTCTGTGCGATTGATAACGGAGGATGTCATCCAAATGCTGATTGCACTGGTAAAAAAGATTGAAACGGTATTTGATTTTTTATGTCATATAAAATATTGTGTTATTTTTCTTAGTTTATGCTGAAACAACCATTCAGTGTACATGTCGGCAGGGGTATACTGGTAATGGAGTCGGAATTAATGGATGCATTAAAAACAATAAAACAGCAATAGAACCTTGTACGAATAATCCTTGTGGTTCCCATGGTGAATGCCTTTTGAGTTCAAATAATAGTTTTTTGTGTCTTTGTGATACGGGTTATACAGGTAATATTTTGCTGACAAAAAATGATTGAGTTTAAGTATGATTATTTCGAGATGAGTTAAATTAATTCTAGGACGAACATGTAATATTCGTGCGGAAAATCCATGCTTATCAAATCCATGCCAAAATAATGGACAATGTCTTCCCGAACTAGAACCCGGTGAATTTACTTGTATCTGTACTGATGGATATTTTGGAATATTTTGTGAATCATTTGTAGAAAGTAAGTATATTTATAAGAACACGTGCTGTATAATAAAAAAACATTATGTGTTCAAACATTTTTTAATATTAAGATATATTTAAGGTTGTGGTGGTTATTTTGACACCTTCAATGGAACAATTAAGTTTCCCGATTCAAATACTTCATTAACGTATCAGAGTAACACGAATTGTGCGTGGACGATCGATGTAAATTCGTCCTTTGTTATAAATATGTCTTTTGTTTGGATTGATATTGAAAAAACAAATACTTGTTCATTCGACTATGTTGAGGTATAAATGATTTATTTATTCTTATATTTTTTATTATACTTTTGAGTTGTTTTAGATTGTAAATAGTGACGATGTGGACGGAAAGGTGTTGGGCAAATTTTGTGGAAATTCTTTACCTTTAAACAATAGCATCATTTCGGATTCTTATTCAGTTATTGTACATTTTCGATCTGATGGATCCAAAAATTTTCGAGGTTTCCAGTTAAATTACACAACAATACAACCAGGTAACATTTAATTTTGTTATATTTAAACATATTATTTTAACTTAATTAAAAATATCATATTGGTTTTCTTAGACTGTGGTGGTACATTAAATATTGATTCACACGGAACATTGTCTTCTCCTGGTTCCCCAGGAAAATATCCACCAAATCGTGATTGCTATTGGACATTGAACGCCATTCCAGGAAAAAGAATTCAATTAAATTTCTTTTCATTAAGATTTGAGCGACATATAAATTGTAGTTATGATTATTTAGAGGTAACACATTAATACAGGCAATATTCACTGTTAAAACCATAATAAATATTTAACTATTAAATTATAAATGTAGATTAGAGATGGGTTTACTCAGCACAGTCCAATGTTGGCTAAATTATGTAATACTACTTTCAATGGTTTACCTCCTCCAATATTGACTTCAGGTCCACATTTAAGTTTGCACTTCCATTCCGATGCTTCTGGCCAAGACTATGGGTTTCAACTGACGTACAGCGTAATTGAAGGTATTTAATATTTCCATATACCTATATCTCTATCATTATTTTGATATTATTAAGCAATTCGATTTAAATTTATATTTATATTTTTAATTAGGAGTACCAGGATGTGGTGGTATTCATACAAGCCCGTCTGGAATTATATCTTCACCAGTAGATTTAACAAGTGATAATAATAATTATATGGACAATTTAAATTGTGAGTGGCATATACGAATGCCTTTGAGACAGAAACTAAAACTTGCATTCGTAAAGAAGTTTGGTATCGAACAAACAACAAATTGTTCAACAGATTTTTTGGAAGTATGTGTTATTTATGGTATTGGCATAAAATATTGCAAAAATAATACTATCAGTACTTATATCAAAAATGTATATTTTTTAACAACTTGTAATAGATTTATGATGGACCTAATATTAAATCACCATTAATTGGTCGTTATTGTGGTTCAACAAGGTTTGATCAACCAATAATCACGAACAGTAATGAAGTCACTATTATTTTCAAAACTGATTTTGCATCTACAGCTGAAGGATTTACAATAAAATATGAAAYATGTATGTATAACTATTAAATACATTTGTTTAAATGGTTATTTTTTTTTATCTATAGGATTTGCGATTAAAAATATTTATTTTTATCATAATATTACCATTTTTATCTATTAAAATCAATATTTAATAAATGATTACATTTTTTTAAGTAATTGGTAATAGTTTATATACTTAGTCACTTAGATAGGCATAAAGATATTTTTTAAATATATTTTTTTAAATTTTATTAACTTAAAAATATGATATTATGTATATTTTTTTTAGTGTGTGGTGGAACGTTTACAGACAGTAAAGGTATTATTGAATCACCATTCTATCCAAATCCTTATCCAAAAAATAAAATATGTGAGTATCTTATCGCACAACCAGTTGGAAAAGCAATTCGATTAACATTTTTGGATATGGAAATTGAAGATCTATCTTATCCAAAATGCCTTTATGATTCATTAGAGGTAATTTGATTTTTTAAATATTTTATATACATCCAGAGCTGCAATAAATATAATTGATTTTTAATAGTTATATTATTGTATAGTTCATGTTATGTTAAATATATAACATTTTATATTTCATTATACTGTAAATCAATAAAGTTTGATAGTATCTTTATAAATATGTTAACCAGATTTAATTTTTGATTTATATCTTTCTCAAAAAAATTAAGTTGAATAAAAATTAGATAAAAATACTTTTATTGAATAACTATTAAGAATAAAATTAACTTAATTAAAATATATTATAACTAGCTTTTTTTGGTGGTATCGACGATGCTGAAGATACGGATTGTGGATAAATTTGACAGCACAACAATATACACAATGTTTACAATGAAAATTCAGTTTAAAATATTCTAAGGTAGTCGTAGACAACTTTCCATAGCGTAAAAGAGTGTGTAGATTCTAGACAACCTGAGAATGTAAAATTATTATTTTTGATTAACAACAACTACATGGGGGTAGATAGGATTTTCCATATCCCCTTATATTATAACCAGCTGTATAAACTCAGTATGCCTGAAAAAAAATTAAAAAACATATAACGATTATTGATTATTGTGTAGCTCGGTTCACCGTTAAATTGACATGGGTTTATTTCACTTTATGAAATAATTTGGCAGATATGGGTATGGATATAATCTAGGTGTGGTGAATTGGATATAACACAGTATATTTTCAAACGTAGTTAAAACTCCTCTTTCAACTTTCTTGATGTCTCTAAGAATAATATCCAGCTGAAACTTTCATTAAAATTGGTCGAGTAGTTTTTGTGTCTATAGGTAATACCGATGCCCAAATCTTCGGTCATCAAAGTGACCTACCGCCTATGGTTTACATAACCATATTAACAATTAATGTTTCAAAAAAAAATTAAACTATATTTGTATTGCACGTACACAATAAGTACGTGCAATATAGTAATAAAATATTAAATTTAAAATTTAAAATGAATGACTCTCATGAAGAATACATGCTGAAGAAAAAAGATTGAGTGCCAATAGTTTATAAGCTACAGGCATAAATACATAAATTGATTTTTGTTGTACATAATAATAAATAATGAAACAATAAATGAAACATTAAAAACTTAAGAACGTATTTAAAAAAAACTAAATGTAGATACTTCTTATAAAAAATTATATTACCTATGTACTTTATATTTTTGATCATCTTATATCAAGAAATAAATTAACATTTTCGGTATTTTGGAATAATTATTTATTAACATTTATTCTAAGAATTAAAATTATTTCTGATTTCTATATTTTATAACTTTTGTAARCTAAAATAATAATAAGTTTAGAAATTTATTTTAAATAAAATATTATATGTAATTTATAACCATTTCAGATCAGGGACGGAGACAACGAGAATTCAACTAAAATTGCACTGTTATGTGGAAATATTGAAAAACTTCCTAAACTCCCTTACATATCAACACATAATTATATGTGGTTAAAATTTTCTACTGATCATTCTAATTCCAATAAAGGATTTCGAGCAAACTATTCAACCATTGATATAGGTAAACAATATAATAACCTATTGARTTTAATTTCTAAGAATAATAATTATGATTTCTTATTTATTTTTAATTTTTTAGCATGTGGTGGTATTTTGAAGGAGCCATCTGGTATCATACAATCGTCAAAACATTCAGAGCAATATTTACACAATCAGATGTGTAAATGGATTATATCTGTGAATGAATCTAGTCAAATACAAATAACTTGGCTAACATTTTCCTTAGAAAATCAACACGCTTGTAACAATGATTATGTTGAAATTTATGATAATAGTAATTCAGGAAATTCATCAAAAATTGCTAGGTAATTATATTATTTAATAGAAATATAACCTCAWTTAATTAAACAATTACTTAGGTTATATCAATTATATTAAATTTAATATTCAAAATAATAGATAAATTTATTTAATATACTCGAGGTACAATTTGTTAGTTCTCAGTTGAATTAAATTTGCGCATTTGTATAGCAAAAAATGCCATAAGACAARTAAAATTTGTAAATCAAGAATATTTATTAATTTTTCAGATATTGTGGAACTAAGGTTCCACCTGTATTGACTTCGTTGGGTAATCGACTAACAATTATTTTTAAAACTGATMATTCGGTGGCATCAGATGGATTTATGCTTAATTACATTTCACTTAATAAAGCACAAGGTATGTATGCTATTAAAGTTCTTAATTTATTTCTCATCTAAATAATGGTTTATATTAATATAGCATGTGGTGGAAACTTCTTCACCCAAGAAGGTTTTATTAAATCACCAAATTTTCCAAATGATTACCCGAAACTAAAAGATTGTGCATGGATCATAAATGTACCAGTAACTAATCAGATTGAATTAAACGTAACTAGTTTTCTGCTTGAGGAAAGTATAGACTGTCGTTTTGATTTTRTTGAAATCCGGTATGTAAAATTTAAGATAGTTGAATTTAAGTATGAATATTATTGATAGTAATTTATTTGTATAGAAATGGAGCATTTTCTACATCGCCTTTAATTGGTAGATATTGTGGATCTAAAATTCTTCCAATAATATCTTCAATTGGAAATTCACTTTTTATAAGATTTGTATCTGATGGGTCTAGGGGACGTAAAGGTTTTTTTATGCAATGGTAYACAACTGCCAAAGGTACAGTGTTTAATAAAATAAAAATACATACATAATCTATAATTTAACATAAATATTAAAAGGTTGTGGTGGAATATTGAATTCTGGTGTTGGACATATCGTATCTCCTAATTATCCATTACCAATACAAGAGCCATTAGAATGCTATTATAAGATAGCTGTGGCACAAGGAAGTCAAATCAAACTTACTATATTAGATATTGAGTTAATGACAGATCATTTTTCTGGAGGGCAATGTAAAGATAATTTTCTTGAAGTACGTATAGGTTATACATTTATGTTTATAATTTTTTTCTTCAAATTTACAGATTTATTAAGTGTTATTTTTTTTGTGTCAAACCCGAAGTTTAAAAAAATATATTCAGAGTATATGAATTATTAGTGAATTTATTTCATAAATGAGTGTTCTCTAATTTATTTTTATAAAATTTACAAGATCACATTAAATTAATATTTTTTACAGTTTTATGATGGCGGTAATAGTGCAAGTAAAATGTTAGGAACATTTTGTTCAGATACTCAATCATCTACATCTTTGCATTCATCTTCAAACCAGATGTACATTAAATTTAGAAATAGTGGTTTTTCCAAAGGGAGAGGCTTTTCATTAACATATTCTACAGGTTAGTACATTAAAAAATTATAYAAAATATCTTGGGATGTATTATATCTAAATGCTTTTTGCTAGATTGTAATGTAACTATAAAAGGACATCAAGGTGCAATTGAAATGGCACATCAAGAAAATCTTAGAACGGATAAATGTGAATGGACAATTGTTGCGCCAAAAGGTAGCAAAGTTAATATGACATTTACTTCATTAAAAATGTTGCAAAAGCGTAGTTCATATTTTTCGTTTACAATGCATAGTATGGCAGTTAATAGCAGACGTAATACCTCTCAATTAACTGTGAGCATGATTTTATATTTATAAAATATACACAAATGCTTAATAATAATTCATACATTTTGATTTAAATTTWTAGATATCCGAAGGTTCAAATATAAATGAAATAAATACAGTTTTGTGGACTCATAGTTCTTCGGAATATAATCAATCTATAATCGCTTCAACTAAAAATATTGTTAAAGTGGATTATAATTTTCGAAACAGATTATTCTTTATGGAAAGATTTGATAGTTTCCGTTTGGAATGGATAGTAGATGGTTGCGGGGGAATATTGGATCATCCAGAAGGTGAATTTACATCACCCGGATATCCTTCATTTTATCCTCCCAGTACAACTTGTGAATGGAATATTGTCGCTGATTATGGAAATACCATAGAGATAAATATAGAAGATTTTTGGTTTGAATCTTCAAAATCTTGTATATCTGATGCATTAGTAGTATGTATTAGCATGTTTAAATAAATATTATATTTTATTAGAGATTTTAATTTTAATTTTAGATTTACAGTGGACACGACGATTCTGGTCCAGAATTGTTACGGATMTGTCATAAGCAAACAAATCCAATCATTGTAACGTCTGGTGGAAATGAAGTTTTTGTAAAGTTTGATTCTAATGCGGAGTCTCAAGGGAAAGGATTTAGAGCTATTTACAAGACATTCCTATCGAGTAAGTTTTTTTTCTACTACAAGTTACAACTAAAATATATTAGATTACCTTATTAATTGTTTATTCAATTGTAATAAGAACTTATAAATTATAATTTTTTATTATTGTTAATAAATTAAATTTTTTAATTAATGGGACACAGATTTTGTAGGAAAATAAACCGTTAAAAAGCATTTATAATTTTCAAAAATATTAGATCTTGGTAGAACTATCCGGTATCGCCTGTGTCAACATTTGTTTGTTTTATTCAACATATTATATTGGCAAAAAATATATATTTCATATTCATACTAATTTATTATAGTAGTAATAGAACATTACCAGTAGCAAGCATTTATAGTTTCCAGTTATCATAGTTTAGGCTGTATATTGATCAGCTAGTCATTCAAAAAAGCACTTTCCATTTTTTTCTGAACTTTCCAAAACAGATGTTTTTTCAATTTTTCTCTATAAAAACCATATTAGAATTATTAGGAAAAAAAAATTGTTGCAATTCTATTATGGAGTTCTCAAGTGATTCAATTACAATCGAACAGAATTTAGTTTTATTTATAAAACTACCTTCCCTTCCAGCGTTACCGTGCCAAAAATTTATTTTTCAAAAAATGTGGTTGTAAAATAAAACTTCAGTAGTAAAACAATAATATTATGTAATCAATGTCATAAATAAATCAAATTTTTTTTGTGGTCTGAAAAATATATGWATGAGCTTTTTTATAGTTGTTGAAAAAAAATTCTATAAATACCCTTTAAGACTGAGGAATTATTTAATTGATATAATTTTTTATTGAAAACGGTAAAGTAGTTGTTGGGTCACTTAGTTTGGATAAATCGTCATATTAGAAAAGTATGTTCATTATAACATGATATATATTTTTTAAGAATTTTTATTCATAAATTATTTATTCTTTAAGTAAATACCAAACACGAAACATATTTTTACTTCCTCGTGTTATTTCTTATAATGTTAATTTAACGATAAAAAATTATCATACATTTGAAATTTGGTAGACGTAATGTTTATAAGAAGTAAAATACGAAAATTTAAATTTAAAAACAAAAAATAAAACATTAATTTTAATGTATATTTTAATTTTATCATTATAGAATGTGGTGGAAAATTTACTGCTCCTCAAGGAATTATTCATACTAGCAATTATCCGCAAAATTATGATTCTAATAGTTCTTGCATGTGGTATATTGAAATAGCAGAGACTCATTTAGTTAATCTTACATTCGTTGACTTCAGTACTCGGAGTTTTCCATCAGGAAATAGAGATAAAGTTTTGGTTTATGACGGAGATATCCAYGGAAAACTACTCCTCAACCACTCTGGGAATAGTATACCACCACCGATTATATCTTCATCTAATAAACTCCTTGTATCCTTCGAAGTAGGCAAACATGACTTACGAGCAAAAGGGTTTAAAGCAATATATTCGACGGTAATTTATTATTTTTATTTTAGCTTTAATGTATATATATATATAGTAATGCTAGGTACTACTATCCTAATTTTTTTTTTACAGGCTTGTGGTGCAAAATTAATAACAAATAATTCAGGGATTATTACAAATAACCCATCTTTAACAAATAGTTTAAACGAAACCTGTACTTGGACTATTATATCTGATACCCTTCAGTCAAAAATCACATTAACTTTTACACATATTGATATTGTGCATCCTTTAGAAAATAATGTAGTGGGCACAACAAATACTACTAATTTGCAGTGTTCTGGTGGTTTATTTCACACAATATTTCGAATTTTGGATGGACCAGATTCTGATGCACCTGAAATATTAAAATTTTGTAAATCAAATCCAATACCACCACCTATTATCAGTAATGGACCTGCTATGCGTATAGAGTTCACAGATAACTCTGGTGCATTGGATTCATTTACAGCTCTGTATTCTGTAAGATCAGTAGGTGTGTAAACATAATATAATATAATTTAAACAGTTTAAACATCCTTTTAATAAAATTATTTTGTTTTATTAAGCATGTGGAGGAACTTATGATTCGATAAGAGGAACGATTTCTTCACCAAACTATCCAAATAATTATTTTAGAGATTCAGAATGTGTTTGGATATTGAAATCCTCCGTTGGAAATCTCGTGTCTTTGAATTTCATTGCTTTTGAATTAGAAGAAGACGAGTTTTGCAATGAAGATTATGTGGAAGTTAKAGAAGGGGATTCTATAGGTCCAGTCTTAGGTATTTTTTGTGGACCAAATTTRCCAACTAATATTACTTCAGGATCTACGCTTTGGGTAAAATTTCGTTCCAATTCTCTTGGCTCAGCTAAAGGATTTACTGCAGATTTTAAATATGGTGAGATTGTTATTGTTACAATTAATACTTAAAATAATGTTTACATATATTTTAGTATCTAAAATTGATTTGACAAAACAATCTGGAGAAATCTCTAATCCAATGTATCCGAAAACATACAGAGATAGTGAAGATTATTCGTGGACAATAACTGTAGACCAAAAAAAACAAGTTCAAATTGTAATAGAAGAGTTTATGACAACATCAAAAATTCATAGTTTAAAAGTAAAATACAATTTTTAACATTTTTATCTAATAGTCTATGGTAACCAATTTTATTTATTTGCATGAAGATTTATGATGGGAGTAATGAAAATKCATTAATTTTGTATGAACTAAGCTATACGCATTTTAATACAGTATTTAACGAAACTATAATGTCAACCGACAACACTGTATACATAAAATTGACAGCTGGTAGTAGACAGGTTGGAGGCATATACTTTTTACTATCATGGACAAACGTGGATGTGGAATATCCTAAAAAACCATTCTTCGTGTTTAAAGAT